CATTTTATATCTATTTATATATATATCTCAACTTCCTCCCCCCGACTACGAATATCGCGATTTTCAGAGCGGTTTCGCGATTTTCAGAGCCGTTTCGCCATTTTCAGCTCGATTTTGACACCGCCGCGACCCAACCACCCCGCGGACCTCATTTACACCCTTTTTTTGTGTGTGTGCGTGTGTATTTTTTCGAGGGTTTTACTTTTTCTCCCTCTTTTTCAACACGATTCCGAGCAAACCTCAAGGCGATTCCCACCCTTTCCTTTCCCCCCAACAGAGCGCACAGGTTTCGGACACTTATTAACAACCTAAAGAGCGAAACACTACATTTCTGCGTGAAGCTAAGAGCGGCTTTTTGCATCGCTAATAAGAGGCTCTCCTTTGTCTGACGGGTCGGAGAGGGTACGGACCTGCGGCCATGCAGCATCCCCCCCCCCCCCCCCCCCATATTCCCCCCCCCCCACGGCAGCTTACAGAGCGGGACCCCCACCTCCAGCCAAAGCCCTAAAGAGCCTCTTTGCTTTTCAACTTGGAATCTTTCTTCCACTTCATCCTCCGGTTCTGAAACCAGATTTTGATCTGTCTCTCGTTCAAGCACAGGTTGTTGGCGATCTCAATGCGCCTCCGCCGGGTGAGGTATCTGTTAAAATGGAATTCTTTCTCCAGTTCCAGAGTTTGGTAGCGGGTGTAGCTGGTCCGGGAGCGTTTGCCATCCGTTTCTAGAAAAACGCAAAACGCCACGTGAAAAAAAAAAAAAAAAAAAAAAAAAAAAAAAAGAAACCCAAATTGGTTCTGGAGAGATTTTTATTGGAAATAGATTTTTTTTTTTACGATTTTTTTTTACTGCTAAAACGGAGGGTACAAACACCAGGACAGCAGAGAAGTTTGCTGGGGCGCCGGGGTTTGGCACAGTGGGAGAGCAGGAGCCTGAAATCCTTCATTCCCTACACCTCCAGCTCCAAGTGTTCCCTTCTCTCCCTTCCTTTCCTTCTTCTTTCTTTCCTTCCTTCCTTCCTTCTTTCCTTCCTTCCTTCCTTCCTTCCCTCCCCTCCTTCTTTTTCTTCCTTTCCTCCTTCTTTCCTTCCTTCCTTTCCTCCTTCTTTCCTTCCTTTCCTTCCCTCCTTCTTTCCTTCCTTCCTTTCCTTCCCTCCTTCTTTTCCTTCCTTCCTTGCCCCCTTCTTTCTTTTCCTCCCTCCCTCCTTCTTTCTTTCCTTCTTTCCCTCCCTTCTTCCTCCTTTCCTTCCTTTCCTCCTTCTTTCTTTCCTTCCTTTCCTCCTTCTTTCTTTCCTTCCCTCTTTCTTTCCCTCCTTCTTTCCTTCCCTCTTTCTTTCCCTCCTTCTTTCC